CACCTCTTCTCCAGTCTGCTCGTTCATGCGCCAATGACCAATCAGACCAGGAATACAGATGTCATAGCAAGTCGGAACAGGACTTACTTGGGGGTAATATGGCTTCCATTGGTTGTTGAGGCAAAGGCTTAAAAATTTTTGACCTTCAGTGGAGCGTACCATTCCTGTCCTAATTGCAGTGCAAGGTGCTTTTTCAAACGGTGAGTCATCATCCTGGATTGAAGAAATCGTGGAACATCCATGTTTACAGAACTTTACAATCGCTTACAAACTGAAATTCTTCTGTTTAATTTTAACATTTTATTCCCACGATCTAACTGCGAAGCACTCAAATATTATCTAAACTTATTTTCAAATTTCTCTGCCTGCTCATGATAGATTTTAGCGTGCAGCCATTATTCATCACCATGCAGGGGCAGTCAACCCTCTATATACGCCTTTATGCTCTGCTGATGGTGACTGATCCCTCTCTGTTCCAACTGAAAGCCGTGTAAATCCCCCAAAGTTCATCGAATCCTTCTTCCCCCTCTCTTACGTGCGCCCCAGCCGATAAATAAGGACCGACTCCTGACATGAACGTGATTTAAAATATTTCTGCATCCACGATATTTGCATAATAGTTTCTCAATTTTATGAAATTTTTCTGGATGCTGACAAGTAAGATTAAGCTCGGAGCTTGTCCAAGGCTACGGAAATACATCATTGCGATAGAAAAAACGAATTACTCAGATAGTCACTGTCCTCTGTTAGAGAATTTGAAGCTTTCTTACAAAAAAATTGTCAACATAATTGTAAAATCAAAATTTACCTTGTTAGAAAAAAAATCTTTTCCAACTACACTTTGCAGCAACCCGTCGAAAAAGGAGGTTAACAAAATCACGGCGACACAGAATCTTTTCATTGTAAGAAAGGCCCAGCTTTAAACGCACAGGTTCAGTTATAAGAGATCGTCTGAGAAACCTTTTCTCACGTTCCTATTTTTGTCGCATGTTAAGCTACTTTAGGATTGGTGCGGCATAAATTCAATGGAAAAAAATTTTAAAAAACATAAAAAAAAATTAAGAAAGTTATTAAAAAAAAAATTAAAAAATTAATTTAAAAAACTGATTAAAAAAATTCAGAAAATGAAAAAATTCTTTAAAAATAAATTGAAAAATTTTTTTAAAAAATTCTTTAAAAAATTCAGTAAAAAAATTTTGAAAAAATTAATTTAAAAAATATTGAGAAATTAATTAAAAAATTAATATCAAAAATTTCAAAAAATTAAAAAGTAATTTAAAAATAGTTAAAAATTGATTAAAATTTCTTAAGAAAATAATTAAGAAAATTTAAAAAAATCAATTAAAAAATAATTATAATTTTTTAAGAAAATAATTAAGAAAATTAGAAAAAATCAATTAAGTAGAATTTTTTAAAAATTAAAAATTTAATTAAAAAATAATTTTAAAAAAATATAAAAAGTTATTGAAAATTTCTAGAAAATCTTATTAAAAAATTAATTAAAAAATTATTGAAAACTAATTTTAAGAAGTAAATGGAAAAGAGAAAATGAAAATTGGAAAAAGAAAAATTGGAAAATGCAAAATGAAAAATGGACATTTGAAAATGAAAAATGGAAAATGGAAACGGAAAATAGAGAACGGAGAATAGAGAATGGGGAATGGGAAAATAATATGTGAAATTAAAAATGAGAAATGTAGAATGGGGGATGTAGAGTGGAGGATAAAGAATGAAGAAAGGAGAATGGAGAATAGAGAATGGAAAATAGAGAATGGAGAATGGAGAATGAAGAAAAGAGATTAGAATATGGGGAATGGGAAAATACTATGGGAAATTAAAAATGGGATATGTACAATGGGCAATAGAGAGTGGAGAATGGGGAATGGAGAGCAGACTTTCATTAGTGCTGTGACAGCGAGACCTGCGGGTTTCTAGACGGCGAGGGATGCGAGCGTGCGAGAGATCTGGAAAGGTTCTCTTGCTAGGCCCTTTCACACCACCTATCGCACTATCATTTTGTTCCCCTGCTCTGGGGCTTAGCCGTTAGTCTTGACGACACAGCTAGTGAGCAACTGGTCGTTACGAGACCAGATAATTTTGAAGAGGCTTGTGCGCAAACTCGTAGATTAGCCCCTTTATTGACTCAACATTTCCCTTAACAAATCAAGAAAAGCTTGAGGTAACTTTTCGTGTTGTGCTTAATTTTTTAGAACTAGTGTTGTGGTTAGTCTAGAACGCAGAGAATGAGAGATTTGTGTTTTGGATTAATCAGCGTTTCAATAATGCCGAGTTCACAATACTGGACAACAAAGTCTGAGATAAAACAGAATCTTCCGTTACATGATTGGTTGAGTGAGTTAAATCCATCGTGATAATGAGCAGCTTGTTTAAAGCTGATTTCTACCAAATAGTTGCTCTCCTCGCTCGCATCCGAAGAACAAAATGGATATCAAAACGTTGCTTCAAGATCTTCATGAAAAAGAGTGTCATGTCTTGTGTGTTCTAACATATACACGGACCCAAAACATCTCCAATGTTCGCACAGTTTCTGCCTCCAGTGCTTGAAGCAGTGGCACAGAACAAGCCATGGCTGAGACACAAGCAGATGTCCGAAATGCCAAGCTCTCAACAAAGTGTCGGAAAGTACCGATCTGAAAGATCTACCAACCAGTTTTTACCTGTACGACCTGGTTGATGTGTTGGCCATTAAAGAATTTTAAAACAGTCGAGTACTGTGAGGAAATTACGACAAGAAAAGCTCCAAGGCGTCTTATTGTTTCCAGTGTTGCATATTTTACTGCCAAGAATGCGCCATTAGACACGACATCATGCGAAGTAACAAAGACCACTGTGTTCTGGCACTTAATTAAAGATTTTCAAGAAAAGGACTTTGAGGATGTCATAATACGACCCATACACTGCTCAGCGGCACGAAAAAGAAGAGCTGAAATACTTCGGCAACAATTGTAGCACAGCAGCTTGCCAAAGCTGTGTCCCGATAAATCACGCGGGTCACGCCCTAGTGTACCTCGACGAAGAAGCTGAAAAACAAAAGATCCAAATGAGATCACTGATAGAAACAAAGAAGAGTGATTTACATGTACAAGCAAAAATAAACGTTGTACGACAGCTCGACGAGGATTACGTAAAAATGATACAAAGAGGAGAAGACTTGAAGCGAGAAGTATACAAGTTTGTTAGCAATTTGTTTCCAACTGTTGAAGCGGAGAAACAAGCCATTTACAAAGCAGTGAAGAGAGAAATGAGAATATATCACTTTTTACTGAGAATCACCCTGGTCGAGTCTCAGCCCGAGTCGACCCGATTTCCTCAGTTTCCAAGAAGACTGGGACAGTCTGAGCTATCCCAAAGTTATAAGCGATGTCAGGATACAATTCGGTTTTGTTCGAAACTCCTTCCTTTTTAATGTGTTTTTATTTATCATCCAAGCTAAATCGCCCGAAAATACTCATGGTAAAGAAGCCTTTCGAAACCTATTTGAAAAGCACAGCGTTATGACAATCGCGGCATCGTTTTTAAAGGGGCTCCCTTTTTTTTTGCGTTTTCGGGGTCCTGCCGTGAATTATTCGTTTTACGGAAATGAACGCCAGAGACTACACAAACATGCTTGAACATATAAAGGGGGTAAGTTTCTAAAGAAACTGTGGTGCTGCGTTGTTCGAAGAGTATAACAGGGAACAAGTATGATCAACTGAGTTGATAACGTAAATTGGCCATCATAAAGAGGTTTAAAGCTGATGTTTAAGTAGAGCGTTAGCCCTTGTCAGAGTGAAAAATAATTTAAGACCATGCCTGAATATGTTTACTACTACCTCGTGGTACAAGCGTTTCAAATTTAGAATGGATGGAGAATAGAAAATAGAGAATGGGAAAATAAAATTAAAAATTTTTAAAAAATTGGGAAATTAATGTTTTACAGATTTTATTTTTATAATGCGGAATATATATTTTCAGCGTTTATCATCGATATCCATACTTTTTACAAAAATTGTCAGAGGCAAAAAAGGTTGTAAAACTAAAGATTATTCGTTTCATTAACCCTTGATTGGTCAAATTAAATTGGTTGAAATTAATGAAAGAGATATTTTAACGTTTAGTTGAAAATTGGTCGATTGGAAGTTAAGAACAGGTTAGCCGTTAAAAGGTTAAATTTTTCAGAGTCTACGTCACTACTCAAATCCGAGTCCACAGTTGAAAGTCCACTTCAAAAAGTCTGTCATTTCATTCTTCGAAAGTAATAGAGGTTTGCTTAATTAAGAGGATAATTTTCGATCAGTCAAAGCACTTGCCTCACTTTTCAAGTTGGCGGCTGAAGCGAAACTGAAAAATCATATCAAAGAATAATTCTCCTTTCACGACAAAAGCACGCGCCAAGCAGATAACGAATCTAACAGGTCTCAAGAAGTAATTTGCCTGAATATTGATAGCAAGTGTGCGGCCAACTCCTGAACTTATGATGCATTATAATCACAAATACTCTCTTTAATGTAAACTAGATTGACATAAATAAAGTAATTATTTTTGCTATTCGCTCAGCTTCAGATAGTAACATAACGAAACAAGTCAGGGTAACTTTTTTTCGTATCATCAATTTAATTTATTCCGTTCCTTAAATTTTGCCACTTTAGGATTGAATCAAATTTTTTTTAACAGATCAAGAAGAGTTAGAGGTCAATTTTATTTTCTTATATTTTTCTTGTTGTGCGTAATTTTTAAGAACTGGTGTTGTGAGTGGTCTTACTTGCACACAATGCATGAAAGAGATTTTTCTTTTGGTTTAATCAACGTTTAAACTTGAATGAAAGAGTCTGAGACAAACAAATGTCTTCCTGTTTCATGATTGGTTGAGTGAGCTGAATCCACTAAGGTAATTTGCAACTAGTTGTAAGGAAAGCCGAAAAAGATTATCACAAGGCTTCATTGTTTCAAGCTGATTTATGCCAAACAGTTGCTCTCCTTGCTTACATCTGACGAACAAAATGGATATCAAAACATGGCTCCAAGATCTTCGAGAAGAAGTGTCATGTCCTGTGTGTACTAACATCTACACGAACCCAAAACAGCTCCAGTGTTTACACAGTTTCTGCCTCCAATGCTTGCAGCAATGGCGCAGAACAAGTCATGGCCGAGACACAATCAGATGTCCGAAATGCCAAGCTCTAAACAAAGTGCCGGAAAGTGGTGATCTGAAAGATCTACCAACCAGTTTTTACTTGAATGGCCTGATTGATGTGTTAGCCATTAAAGAATGTAAAAACAGTCAAGTACAGTGTGGAAATTGCGACAGGAAAAGCTACGAGACATTTTATTGTTTCCAGTGTTGCACATTTTATTGCCAAGAATGCGTCATTGGACACAACATCATGCGAAGTAACAAAGATCACCGTGTTCTGGCGCTCAAAGATTTTCAAGAAAAGGACTTTGAAGATGTAATGAAACGACCCATGTACTGCTCGAAACAGCGGCACGAGAAAGAAAAACTGAAATACTTCTGCAAGAATTGTACTGAGGCAGCTTGCCAAAGTTGTGTATTGATAGATCATGCGGGTCACGCTATAGTGCTCCTAAACGAAGAAGCTGAAAAACAAAAGATTCAAATGAAATCACTTATAGAAACAAAGAAGAATGATTTACGAGAAAAAATAAATATTGTACGACAACTCGACGAGGATTACGCAAAACTGATACAAAGAGAAGAAGACTTGAAGCGAGAAATACAGGAGTTTGTGGACGATTTGTTTGCAACTGTTGAAGTGAAGAAACAAGCCATGTATGAAGCAGTGGAGAAAGAAACGAGGAAATCGCTCGAAATTAATGCAGGGCAAAAAACGAAAATCGAACGACAAATTAAGTTAATCAAGTCATCGTTGGAGAAAGCTGATAAACTGATGATACGAAGTACAAACGCCGAAGTCGTTCAACGGATGATTTCATTAGAGACAATATTTCACCGAGATGATCAAAACCAACCAGACGACCTCGACCTAAAAAAGCCCTCCTCTTTAGCTTATGTGGGGAATCAAAAGCTGTTGAACACTGTTGAAGGCCAAGGAATTGGATCTTTGCGAGTAGTGCACCAAACAAAAGCAAGTCAATCCGTTGCTGAAGGCAAAGGACTTGAAGAAGGGATTGTTAACCATACAGCACACTTTACTTTAACTACAAGAGACGCGGAAGGAAGACAGTGCTTCAATGCAGATGATCACATAACGGTGGAGATAAAGGACGAACAAGGACGAGAATGCGTGACGGAAGTGCAAATAGATGAAAATAGAGACGGACACTATCAGATCAGCTACTCTCCCGGAGAAGTAGGAAGGTTTAAAGTAAGAGTAAAGGTAAACGGAGAACATGTTCAAAACAGCCCTTTTACTATAATAGTAAAAGGCTTTCAGTTCAAAGCCGTGTTGACTTTCGGAAAAGAAGGTTCTTCTGTAGGAATGTTTAGAGGTCCTTACGGGGTGGCAGTGAATGCCAAGGATGAGATAGCTGTAACTGATTTTTTCAACCACAGAGTTCAAATTTTTAACAAGAATGGATACTACTTGAGATCATTTGGTAGGGAGGGTAACAAGGCGGGAGAATTTAAATATCCCATAGATATAGCATTTCATGATAACGGGAATATTTTCGTGGCAGACCAGTGGAACCACAGAATCCAGATTTTTACGGGGGAGGGTCGATACGTGAACAGTTTTGGTAGGAAAGGAAACCGGGATAGTCAGCTCAGATCACCTTGGGGCATATCGGTAGACAGTGATGGAAACATTATTGTTGCTGATTCAGATAACAAAATGATTAAGATCTTTTCTTCTGATGGCATGTTTCTGATGAAGATAGGTGGACATGGGGCTTTTACTTTTCCTATTTACTGTGTTCAGTACGATACATATCTCATAGTGTCGGACCACGATGAACATTGTATCAAAGTTTATGACAGGTATGGAAAATTTCAGTACAAGTTTGGAAAGGAGGGTGGAGGGGACGGGGAGTTTAATAATCCTGCATGTTTGTCAGTGAACAAGTCAGGAAACCTGATGGTATGTGACACAAATAATCATAGAGTACAAGTATTTGAACTGAATGGAGGGTTTCTCAATAAGTTTGGAACTAAAGGTGGCAATTTAGGAAAATTCCATTATCCACAGTCTCTGGCGGTTCTTGCTTCAGGGCAAATTGTTGTCACTGATAGGGGCAACGATCGTATTCAGATATTTAAGTAAACTATAATCTATATAAAAAATTGATTTCCGTATTTCAGATATGTATTATTGAAATGGTGACTTAAAAGACAAATGGTAAAATAAACAAGTTAAAAAATGAAGTTTATCGGGGAATAGTGGGGTGACCGCTTAATACACGTTCAACTTTAGACATTATATTTTAATATTTCTCTTTGAAATTTGAGGTCGAAAAGGTTGATTAACCAACTATTTATTAATGTTGAGCCAAGAGAGTTTGTTGCAATTTGGTGTTCTGGCTGTGGCCTCCTCTCTCTGCTCTGCGGAAACTGGCTTGGAAGCGAAACGGAAAGCTATCTTTTCAGCTCTTTTCGGCTGCTCGTAGGCGAGCATTAACCGGGTGAGTCACCTACGAGCAAGCCGATAGTTAGCCTGAGGAATATTTACTTCTGTGGCAAAAATAAACCGTTATTATATGCTTAGAGAACCTCTTTTTTATTATCACAAAAACTGGTTATTTAGATCGAATTTAGGTATTGGAACGAGAAATTACCAAGGAAGAGTAATGAAACCAGAGCCTCTAGGTTAAGAATCAACGTCTAAGATTACTGAACCAATGAAATCTCTGACAAGCCTGGTACTACAAGAGGGTTTTACATCGAGTTGGTTCAGACTTGAAATCTCAGATTTTTAAACCAGCCATTGAGTAGTTAAAAGGAAACATCGGAAATATATATTAAGTTGAAAATTGCTCTAGATCTGTAGGGAGAAGTTTATTTTAATGTTTTCTATGTAAAGGATACTTTCAATATTCTTTAATAGCGACATTTTGAGTTTAAGTTTTTATTGACAGTTTATTCGAATTAACCCTTTCACTTTCAATATCTCATTAGTAATTCTCCTTACTGTCTGCCCCACAATTGTTATGATGTTAGCTCAGAGAATTTGGTATTGGATCAACTATTAATTCCCTAATTGATATTTTCCTTATTCTCATCACATGTCTGCTTAATATTGTATCGATATAGTAAGGAGAAACTCTCTCTTGGTCACTCGTGGGAGTTAAAAGGTTAGCAAGGGTAATTAGGGTAATTAGTTATTTTGATAAAATGAGAATAAAATTTTTGTTATCTCTCAATAATTGTTTCAGAGTTTGTGAGAGTTTCTTTCTATTTAGGATCTAGCATGGTGTAATTGTGATAATACTCACTTATCAGAGCGTTGACCTGGTTTCTATTCTTGTTGATACCTCATTTGGGCTGAGTTTGTTGGTGGTTCACGCCCTTTCTTTAAGTTTATTTGTTTGTCTGTTCATGTTCAGCGGGTTTTCTGGTTCTCGTTCATCCACAAACCCAGGATTCCAAATTTAGATCGGATCTCAAGGGCACTTGAATTGAAGTAAGTAAAGGTGACGCCCTATAGATTCAAACTTGGATTTTCGATATAATCTTAAAATAACTTCCATGTCAAACCATTTTTTGAGTAGTTTGAGACTAAGTGGCATTCAATTGTAACTAAATGGAACATATTCCCTACCAGAACAACCGAAATTATTATTCGCAATCCAACCCCAGAAGGAAGTAAGTGTCATTTCTGAGAACCGAGGTTACAAAAGCTTTCCAGGGGAGCTACCTCTGCAAAACCTCCCCTCTCTCCTTAGAAGGAGTGCCAATAAGCGCTTGCAAAGTTCCAGGCCCTCAGTTAGTGGAGTAGGAAAAATGATTGTTAAAAACTCCTCCATCTTTGATTACATGTCAAAATTGTACTTAATATGCAAAGCCACTATTTTTCATTGCAACCTTTAGATTACATCAAAACGATGAAAATTAATACAAAGTAAGATGGATATTGATTTTGATCATTGGAGGTGATTTGGAAGGGCTTCAAACAGAATGTGCGACGTCATCTGAGGGAAGATATCGTCGAAAAACCTTTCTCCTCGTCTTTGTTGAAAATTTGCGTTAGTTTAGTGGAAATATTGGTATGGAGTTGTGGAAAAAGTACTTGATTCGGTGGGATTTATCTTTAGGTCGTCTTCTGTTAGGGCTTTAGATTTTTTTATTATTTTACGTTAGTGCGACCTCTGTGTTTGGAAAAGCCATTTAAACGCGCGACGCAATAAAATTCGAACGAATGATCGACGTGAATGTGTGATAAATATTACTAGATAAGGCACGCGATGACAAAACTGTGTGATATCAGTATAATTATTCACATCTTCAAAGCCTCTCTTAAAGTTCTTTACAGAACGACGGTGGTTCACTCCTTTTGATCTAAAGTACTGTTATTTATACTTGTGTCAAATTTTACAGTAACATGATAGATTTTTAGGCATTGAACAAATGTTAAGTATTGAGAAGTTGACGCTTTTTTAATAGATAATAAATATAGGAAAAGAAAAAAGACGACAAACTGTCGCACTGATGTGTTTGTAGATGTATGAATAAACATTAACGTGAGATAAAAGATATTACTTGTGCGTCCTGCCGTGAATAAATTATTTTCGATTGGAGACCCTGCCGTAAATCGTTTTACGGGGAAGTGAACTCCAGAGACCATGTGCATTCCAAACGATGCCTGAATATGTTTATTACTACCTTATGATACCAGCTTTCCTTGCGATTACATAACGAAAAAAAAATAATGATGAAAGATCACAAGGCCTTTTTCTTTTGCGATAACTGTTCTCTTTGGAAATGGGAGCGAAAAGGATCTTCTAGACTGTCATGTTTTTTAAAAGCATGCAATCGATATTACTTCGATAGAGTTCAAGTAAAAAACACTTATTATAACGGAATATATTTGGTAACTTTTCTAATGCATAAGCAGTTATCAAAATCAAAATCCAGACACATCAAATATCGTTCTTCTGATGGATGATCGGACTTCTTTGTTTCATACCTTTTTTGTCTTTTTTTTTTCCTTAGGTGTCATTAAGAATTCAGAACATTAAACACAGAAAAGAAAAATAATCTCTTGCTTCATTTGAATGCTGCGAAGACTTATTATAATTTTAACTTGCACAATTTAATAAAATGTTCTTAGATAGCTATTGTTATCGTGGTTTTATTTCGCTGTTTGTTTTTTAATGGTTTGAAAAATAATTTACATAGAGCCACCTAAATCATGTTTCAGCCCGAATCAACCCGAGACGACTCCACGATCGAAAAGACAAGCACAACGTGGAACCAGACGAGTTCGGTTTCGTCAGTACTAGAAACTAATGTTCTTATGCGTTTTTTTCATGATCATTCACGTCGAAGACGGTCAAAAATCAGTACTTATGGTAGCGAAACCTGTCGAAAACGATTTCAAAATTAAGGCCGCATTTTGTCAATACATCGTCTTTAAAAAGGTCAGTTTTTTGCGCAGACAAGTGAAAACTGGGGCTTTTGAAAAGGTTGACGGAAAATGCATTACATACTGCCGCTTCCATCTACGTTTGCGAGTGTTTTGGCGGTGGCCGGGGAAAGTTTCGTGCGTTATTTATTATTTTTAGATTAAATATTTATAATGCAGAATAGATATTTCAGGAGCCCATCACTTGGAGCCTTCAACTGCCCTGTATTTTTGTCACGGTGTTTTCACAGACGAGTCTATTTTTAGTTTGAATTTACCGCGAACTAGGACTCCCCACGAGAGCACATCGACCGATCAAGATTAGCGCCTGGTTAATTTCTAACTTTACTCGTTAATATATCGAAAGAAAAACAGTAGAGAGATGCAAGCTTCTTGCGATAGTTCGAGTGCAGATTCGTGTGAACAAAGGCGTCCCAAGCTCACGTCTCGATAAAGAGCAAACGATTAATTCATGAAAGCGTCACATTTCTTTACGGACTGAGTGGATATTGATTCTTGAGATGAAGACAAATCGCACACAGCTTGCTCACGAAATTTCTTGTTTCCGCGCTCTCCATCATCGCTGGCATTTCGCCTCTTAATCGTTTTGAATTTGGACTCTTTTCATGAAATTTTCTTTAGAAGGGCCAGAATCAGAAGAAGGATAACCTTTCATACACACGAAAACTCAAAAAAAAATATATATATATATATACAAATAAAAATACAACGATGATCCGCACTCCTGCGAATTTTTGCACAAGTGTGAAAAATTTGTAAAGGAAAGTGAGATATATAAGGAAAGGAAGGACTGGAATACTGGAATACAGCAAAAGGGGGAATTTGGGTAGTTTTGATAGGAAGACGTCCCCGTATAGGGCCGCCATTTGTTTTTTTCTCCGCGTTTCATGGATCGTATTACCCAAGTGAGCTCGAGTAACCTATTTCCCGCGAAAAGATAGTCTAAAAATAAACCTTTCTGTAAAAACGCCGTGACATAGGTCCAGTATGGGAGTTTAACGCTCCCAGTAATGGGCTCCTGATATTTTCAGCGTTGATTATCGATATCCACGCTTTCTTACAAAAACGCTCACAGACAAAATTAAGGAACAGAATAAATTGATGATAAGGAAAGAATTTCTTAAAAAAAGGTTGTGGTTATTCATCGTGGTGAATAACAATATAAGCTAAGTTTTTTCGTTGTCTCACGATGTAGTCACGTGTGATGTAGATCGCAACGTTTCGCCTGCATACTGCTAGTATTCTTCAGGCGATGAGGTCGACTGGTCATGTGTGATCTTATAAAGCAATATGCTCTTTTGTGATAAGTTGTTTTTCAACAGCTCTGATTGGTGCTTTTCGATCCTTGCTGTTTCACTAAGTGATTTGCTCCCGCGACGGTCCGCTGTTGCACGGCTCTCTTGTTGTTCTGTTTTTTGATAGTGGGCATCAACGCTTCTGGAATTTCTATTCCTCTATCCCTGTTGATGTTGTTAGGGTGAAGTCTTATGTGAATTGCCTCTTTGACCCTGCGCGTGTAGTAATAAGGGTCACGATCGATAACTTTCACTTCGTTCCAGAGTGGCTTGTGTCTGGTGTTGTGGGCGGCATGTTCTGAAACGGCGGAGGTCTCGGTACGGGCGAGTCGAATGCCTCGTTCGTGCTCCTTAATTCTGTCTTGCATAGGTCTTCCAGTCTCTCCGATTTACACCTTGCCGCATTCACAGGGAATCCTGTAAACTATGCCATCTTGTTTAGCCGGGTCGACAGCGTCTTTTGGTCGCACTGAGATCTTAGCGTAGTCTCCGACTTGAAAACAGCGCTTACGCCTTGTTGTTGTAGGCAACGGCGAAGCTGTTCGGACAGAACTTGACATCAGGTAAAACCGCAGTAGCTTTGAACTCGTTGGCGGGTTCGGCACTGTTGTTTGGTTTTCCGGTCTTGGTAAGTTTCTGCAAGAAGGAAAGAATTGATACGTGACACATAACGAATGTTGTAAAACCAAAGTTTTCTCATGTTAGTGACACGTGATAGATCAAATACAGTTTGATGAAATTAATGAAAGAGCTATTTTGATATTTATTTGGAAATAAGTCAATTGGAAGTCTAAAAAACGTTAGTCGTTCGATACTTGAATATTTTAGAGTCCAAGTTGCAACTGAACTCCGAACGACAAACGAGCCCACAGTTGAATATCCATTTACAAAAAAAATTATTTCATTCCTCGAAAGTAATAAAGGTTTGCTTAGTAGAAAAATTTCGATCAGACAAAGCACTTGCCTCGCTTTTCAAGCTAGCAGCTGAAGCGAAACTGAAATATCAAATCAAAGAATAATTTTCCTTTCACGACCAAAAGGCGCGCCAAGCAGATAATGAATTCTAACAGGTCTCAAGGGGTAATTTGTATGAATATTTGTAGCGAGAGTGCGGCAACTCCTGAACATATGATAGATTATAACCACAAATTACTCCCTTTAATGAAAACTTGACTGACAAAAATAAAAAAAGTGATTATTATTGTTACTCGGTCAGCTTCAGATAGTGACAAAGAAAAGAAATCAGGTCAACTTTTTTTTCCGTATAATCAATTTATTCCGTTCCTTAAATTTTGCTTCTAAACGTTTTGAAGAGAACGTTGATATCGATAATCACCACTGGAAAATATATGTTTCTCTCTGAAAACAACAAAT